CAACCTTAAAATCGTTCTTTGGCTATTTTTTTATGAAGTTATAGACGATTATATAAGATTTTACCATGACGTCACTGGCGAAAAAGTAACAAAAGACCGTGTAAATAGTGCCACGTAGGGTATCCATCGCGTAGGATATCCGCCGCGTACGATCATTGCGTGCATGCTGTAACAATCACAATTTACAGCCATGGTTACAGCGTACACGCAAAGATCGTACGCAGCGGATACCCTACGCGGCGCTATTTACACGATCTTTTGTTACTCTTTCGCCAGTGACGTCATAGTAAAATCGTATATAATTGCCTATAACTTATTAAAAAAAGGCCAAAAAACGATTTTAAGGTTGATTCTATTATTAATGGCATATCAAAAATCCTCTCTAAAACAAAAAATCATTTTGCTAGTTCTTTTAATGTCGAAATCAGCTTCCAAAACCAAAACATTTTGAATAAAGCAAAAAACAAAAAGATGCAATGTAAGCATCTGATTCATTCTTGAAAATGTGAAATTCTACATTTTGGAAATTTTGCATGAAATCTGTCAACCAGCTGTCAAGGTCGAGGTTACTTCACCTATCACGATTTATGGCAAGCATCATTAGGCTATCCAAACGAGCATTTGTGATAACAGAATAATAATAATAATAATAATAATAATAATAATAATAATAATAATAATAATAATAATAATAATAACAGAATAATAATAATAATAATAATAATAATAATAATAATAATAATAATAATAATAATAATAATAATAATAACACAAATAGTTTAATGAAAACAATATGTGGCTAAAAGAACATTACATACCGGTAAAATAATATTATTTTTTTTATTTGTTTATTCCCCGACAAAATTTACTCGTCTTCCCCGACTGGGGGGGGGGGGTGCGGGGCGCGATACAGTCACCCAGCCCCCTCTGGCACTATCACTGATCACAATCAAATAATTAGCATTAGCGTTAAGGGGTGCGGTGGGAGGCGCACGCCACCAACAAATACTCGCTCCGATCAGTCTTCCCATAAAGTAGTGGCAAGTAGTTAAAATTAACCTCAAATCTTCTTTTTTGCGAGCTATGTGCCCTCATCTAATCATCGAGGCCCCGTCTCCTTTCACCATTTAAGACTGCTAGATACGCTACTGATTATTAGGCACACGGTGGATTTATAGAGGAAATGAAAGGTCTGAAGATAAGATTATCATGCATTGGCACATAACAGGGGCGGATACAGGACTTAGCATAAGGGGGGCGCCAAAGTAAAGATGGACGACCAGCCAAGATACGTAGCACCGAGGGCATGGGCGGATGCAGCCCGCCAGAAAAAAAAAGTGGGGGGTGTAATCTGCGAGCGAAGCAAGCAGGCTTAGGCTGGTGGCCAGGGGGCCCCTGGTGGGGTCCAAGGGGGCGAAACCCCCTTGAAACCCAGCACATTTGAGGAATATGAGGTTGTATTGAGTCGATTTTTACTATCTAGCATGGTAGTTTTCAGTAACAAATAAATAAAAAAAATGGTGTATTTAAAAGAAATTTTAATATACAGGGTACCTGCAAAATGCAACTATGACATGTGTCATTAAATTAGTAATAATTCATCTACTCACAACATAATCTTTGACAACATACAAAGGCTCATAAATGTACACCATTTCAAAAGAGAAATTTCACTTGAAAACATGATGAAGTTTCTCAGCAACATTGAACATAAAAATCACAAAATCACCAAAAAGGAAAACTAATATCCAAAAACCGTTAAAAAAGTCGTCAAACAACAAAATCCGCTACTGTATATTAACACTGAGTAAATTACAAGTGTTCTATTTCTCACAAAGTGGATTTATGAATAGCACTCTCCTAGGGTGTTTTGGTAGGAAAAGAAGACTTAAACACTGTGGGTGTAATTTTTTCTTTGCAAAAAAATAGAGGGGGGGGGGAAGTGTGCGCCACACCATCCCCCACCCAAATCCGCCACTGGAAATAGGCCTAGGCCCTAGGTTTAGGTAGGCCTACTTTGTTTCATGTCAGGCGCGTATGGGTATTGGGTCAGGAGGGGGGGAAGGTAATAATTTACCCGATCATACACACCCCACACCCCCTCCCCATATAAAAAACAATACGACATAGGGCTTATCTTATTTATATTATAGGCCACACACGTGTGTTTGAAACTAAATATAAGCATTTTCATCATGGTTTTATTTATTACAAACATATTCTTTCATTATCAATACACATTGAGGCCCTTCTTTTAGCTTAAAACGATCTATCTTAAATTTTTCTTTCTTGAGTTTGGGACTACAGATATTATGTGTTTAAATAACTTAAAAGGATAACCCTAAAAAAAGCCCTAGTAAATGCTCGCGAATCGCGCAAAAAGTCTTTTTGTTTTTCATTCAAATTTCGTCGGAATTGATCCCAAATCACTAAAATGTACAATTTTTAGAGGAAATTGGCCTACTCTGACAAGAAATGCGCGCGAAGCGCGCGAAATTTGAGGATTTTAGGCACTTTCAGAGGATGAAAAGGGCATTTATCAAGGGGTGGGGAAAGATTTTCCAAAGATGGATATTTTCCCCTTTCCCCCGGTGTTTTTAATTCTAATTTCGTCGGAATTGATCCAAAATATCTAAAATGTGCAATTTTTAGAGGAAATTGGCCTACTCTGACAAGAAATTTGAGATTTTTAGGCACTTTCAGGGGATGAAAAGGGCATTTATAAAGGGGTGGGAAAGATTTTCAAAAGATAGATATTTTCCCCTTGTTCCCCCGGTGGTTAGCCTACGCCATCTGGCAGCTTAGATCAAAGGAGTTAAGTGAAGAAGAGGTTGCAGCGTGTTGTCTGGTCATTATGATATCTTCTTTTTTATTCTTGTCTTTATTCTTCTCTCCCCTTTTCCTTTTTCCTTTCCTTTTTTCTTCCTCTTCTTTCCCTCCTTCTCCCCTCTTTATTTTCTCTTATTATCCAGCCCGATACGACGGCTAGTTCAGCCCGGTAAAAACCGTCAGTTGGGGGGGGGGGAAGTCCGCCCCCCCCCCCCCCCGTTACGCCAGCCACTGTTTCATGTCAATTAGAGACAACAGGATTATACAATTTCATACAGTACGGTATATCTTTTAAATTACACAATATGATTAAACCATGGTACTGTACTTGAAAACAATAAGGAAGCAAAACTTACACGTCAAAAGTGTCAAATGTTAATTGTCTACACAAAATCTGTACTTTATTAAAAGAGTAAAGTCTACTAAAGGGGTAATATTTTTTGTGATATAAGGGGGAGGGGGTGCGCGTCGAAGGCTCCCCCCCCCCCTAAATCCGCCCATGCATAACGTAAAAACATCTTCAAGTAAGAATTTGACATTGAACATTATTGCGTTTAGACAATTGAGAATTATACAAAATATATACACATATAAATTGTAACATATCTTGCGACTGTTGTTGTAATTATTCACAAATACTTTTGAAAGTTGACGGAGCACAGTATTTATGAATGAATTAAACAAAATGATTATAAGAATCTAGGTATTAGCATTTTAACGGACACCAATTTCTATAATATAATAATATCACATAACTTTATTCCAGAAATAGGTAAGCCTATTTTTCATTAAAACATTTTCAAATTGTTTTTAAATGTTTATACCTTAAATTTTTAACATACCTAAGAAAAGGCCCTTGTCATTTCAAGAATGACAACTTTTGTAACTTACAGAAAAAAAAAAATCAAGTGACCAACAATAATAATAATTTTTTATTTCTTTTCTTCTACTTTCATTTCTTTTTCGCTTTCTTCCTTTTTTTTAATCCCTTCCCACTTTTTTCTTTAAGCAATTCAAATGACAAATAGAAAGTAAAGTGTGTTAAAAAGCATTTTGAAAAGAAAAATAAATAAATGAAACAGGTCTTTTCGGAACGAAAAGTCCTTTTCCAGCTGCTGCTGGGAAAAGCCAATACTGTAAACGATTTTATTATTTAATTATAAATAACGAAGATAAAGACGATATAATGGTAACGACGAAGATAATGATAGTGATGATGATTTATGTTTTATGTTATATTGAGCCGTGGTTGTTATATAAAATGTACGATGTTGCTATTTCTGGTCTAATTCTAGAAAGATATGGATTCAAGTGAACGTTACGAAATACGTATGTGTCTAGAACTACGCGTTTACATTGCTCTAGTAGAATAAGAGTGGTAAAACCACTCAAGTATATACATACAGTTTGTGTTCATTATAGTAATTTAGGAAATCATAAAATGTAAAAGATTATATATTTCAAATAAGAATAATTTGTTACTTAAATTATTTGCCAAATATGATAACAATATTCAAATCAACCTTTATAGCGTTTTGTGCGTACATCAACGCTGTCAGTGTCCGTGCTGCAAAAGCTGTTGTCAACTTCCTAATGATGGCAAAATTCTTTGCGCTGGGTGTTATCATATTTGCTGGTGCTGTGTTTATGTTGACCAATGGTGAGTACTAACATGAGTTAGAAATAGCGAAATACATACCGGTAATATTCTTATAGCAGATAATTTCACGATTTTCATATTATCAATAATATATAATAGAATTATCACAAGACGGTTTTTGCATTACTTGTAAAACTATTTTTGAAGATCCCGTCTTGCAGGCCTTTAGGGTTGCAGAGGGTGCGGACGCACCCCACCCCAAATTCCAAAGGTCCACTTTTTTCAACCTATTATTTCACAAAATTGTTCCTAATTATTCCTAAATGCTAGGCCTAGTATGCATTGTATTTATTTTATATTTCCAGCTCTTCTAACCGTTGATTTTTAATAACCGTAGTGTGAAATCTGTTTTGATGATCAGCTCCGGTGATTACAAATTGATATGAACAATATATCTGTAGACCTACAGATGTATAGGACATATATTAAAATGGTACGGTACTTCTTTAGGTCCCTAAAAACACAAATTATTGAAAATTTAAATTGAATATTCACAAGTGGATTTGAGAAATCAGTTATATAAGGACCTCCAAATGCTACTTTGTCGAAACTTCAGGGGGATTTTCCCCAAACCCCTTCTCCAGGCCCCTGTCCTTAGACACTCAAATTTCAGAAAGTCCACTTTTTAAAACCTATAATTTCACAAAAATTTTTCTTAATTATCGTGAAATGCAGCATTTTTTCCTGCAGCTCTTCAAACCTTTGATTTTTAATAACTTTTAAATTTGTACGAAATTAGTTTGAAATTATCAGCTACAGCGATTGCAGATTGATCCATTATGAACAATTTAATTTGTAGACCTTTCAGATAAAGAACATAAAAATGTTATTTTTTAAGGTCCCTACAACACCCAAATGAATGAAAAAAAAAAAGAATATTCACAAATTATGGGTTTCAGAAATCCTATTATATAAGGTTCTCGAAATGCAACTTTGTCAGAGCGTCCGGGGCTTCGGAACAAACTCCCTACTCGACCACCAAATTCAGTAAAACCTCTTAATTCAGTAAAAACGTTCTTAAATGCTGCAGTTACTAGCTATAGTATGCATTGCATATTATTTGCCAGCTCTTCAAGCCAGTAGGTGTAGCGAAATCTGTCCAGAATACGGGCCCGTATTCTGGACAGAAAAAGCCCGTATTCTGAACAGATTTTACCAACCCGACTCCTTCAAGCCGGTAATTTTTAATAACTGTATTACGAAATTTGTTGGAAGTTATCAGCTTCAGTGATCGCAGATGAATCCATTATGAACAATTAAATGTTATCTGTTGCCTACAGATGTCAGGGATACAAAAAGTTAAAACTTTAGGTCCCTAACAACACCAAAATAAAAAAAAAATTAATAGAACAGAAATTCATTTATAAGGCGCTCAAAATGCTTTGCCCCAAACCCGTGGCAGTCCTTGGCTCACCCAGCCTGAGGTCCACTTCGCTGCCCATCGAAAATCCTGCGGCACGGGTCTGCTTTGTAGTTTAAAATGTTTCGGATGAGTGTGTATCATACCTATTACGACGCTATCTCACCGAGATAGCGAGAGATTGCCACCAGACCTCTTTTTTTTCTTCATACAACAATAATAAGGAACTTTCGTTGATACGATTTCTAACATAAATTTGAGCACTGTATGAGATCTAACAAGATCGAAACAGTACTGTCTGCAGATTGGAAATTATCACGTGTATCGAGCACAGTACGTTGCTAGTATTGCCAACTACATTTATTCATTATATACATATATACATATATAAATATATATAAATATATATATTTATATATATATATGTATATATGTAAATAAAAAAGTATGAGATATATTAAATCATATAACAAATAGAAATGTTCAGGTTAGACAAAAAAGTAGCATGTAAAGTTAACATATCAACTTATTCCTATTGTGGCTCCAACAAACAAACAATATATAATATAAACAAATATTATTTACAATCACATAAACCAAGAAAAAAAAATTGATATACTGCTTAATCTTGAAAAGAGTCATCACTGACGATTTCATTTCTGACCGAGTGAGATAAATCATTCGGATGAACAGAATCACCTTTCCGGTTTCTGTCGTTTCGTTCAATAGAATTCTCTACCATAATTTCTGAATCGTTTATGGAATCATCTAGCCATGTTTCAGTGATTCCAATAACAGCTGGTTGCGTTAGCTTACTAATGTCTCAATTTGTCAATTTTTGGTACAATGCTCCTAATGTTGAGATGAATGAACAGTAACCATTTCTTTTCAGTTGATCAAAAACCGAATTATTTATATTTGATGTATCTAAGTCAATACAATCGTATATGCTGAAACCTCATCAAAAGATAAGTCGCTATAAATTGGTAAAGAGCACGGATAAACTACCATTCAGTGTCGGATTCAGCAAGTTTGTCAGATTCCATTATTGAAAGATCAATGCATTTTACATGATACGGAGGACCGCAGCCATCGCAACAAATACCACATTGATTTTACTTCACATTTTTACAAACTACACACTAGTCAATTTTGAATTAAGTCGCATAATAGAGTCAATGAAATTATTTCGCCAAAATTACAAAACTAGATGAAGTGACAAATATTAAAAATCGTAATATAAAATTACTGGACTTTAATGTTTTTGGCACGAAAAAGAGTGTTCCATCAACGGTCCTTCAAAATAAGGCTTACCTTAGCTTGTAGCAAATTCACAAAGCTTCGGCGGAGAAAATTCAACAATGACCCGTCAGCGATACGGAAAATGCTAAAATTAGCCTGACGAAATACAAAACCACAATGCGCAATAAGATTTCAGTAAAACATCGACGAACAGTAAAAGCAGTTAAAGCGGTATAGTAG